ATTTGGTATACTTGTCGTATAATAGGATCTCACGGCTGAGATTGAAAACGACAACAGCTTTTGAATCTCATTTTATATAGGACCACCAATAGGTTCTCAACTGCACAAAAATGGTGCCGATTGCATCATTCGGTGCTCATGTTTTCACTAGAGGATTTGTATGAAGATGCAGTATTTCGATCTCAATGTATACTGACACGCCATTTGAAACTCATTGTTTTCATGTTGATTTGTACGTGTCTTTTGAGTTGAGTCGTTCCGTGTTTAGTGACGTCACTTGTCTTGGGATCATGTGATCATGGAATGTTCTAGAAACATTACCATAAAAGGAAATGCCACGTGATAGGTCACGTGATCATCTTGGAACGTTCGAGAACATTACCATATATGGTCATGTGTTTCGACGATTGTGCAACAGCCCGGTCTTGCGTCAGACTTCTCTGAGAGGTGGTTGTGAGAGGTGCTATTTTTCGAGTCTTTGAAATTGTGTAGTGCGTGAAAAGTAAGTTTTCAACCATTTATAAGTGTGACGAGGATTTGCGGTGATGGCTAGTGTCAGTGCTACGAAGCGATCGTTTCCTAGTGACAACGAGAGTGATGACGACAGCCTTCCTACACCACCGAAGCGTCGTTGGTTCCAACGTTATAAAGACGATATTGAGGAACAACAAGGTGCTAGGGAAGAACACCGTTTGGATGTTGCCTCGGTCTCTGACGGAGAACATCATGTGTCACCGGTTGTTCAAAGTGCTACCAAGCGGTCGTTTCCTACTGACAACGACAGCGATAACGAGACCCGTCCTACATCACCGAAGCGTCGTCGAGCCCAACATAGTGAGTTGGATATTTCGGAACAACTACAAGGTGCTAGTGAGATGATGGACATTCAAGAGCAGGAAGAAGATGTTTCGGATGTCGTGCAGGTTCTACCTGTCAGGAGAGTCGATACAAAAACATTAAAATTCTGTGATGTATGTCACCTCAGTATTACTAGGAAAAACTGGGCCCGTCATACTGGGAGTAGAGCTCATCAAGCGGCGTGGATACAAAAACAGCAACTAAACCAACCATCCGTCATAGTTCAACCATCCATCATAGTTCAGCCATCCATCATAGTGCAAGTCCCACGTAAGCCTCCGCCACCACCTAATCTTGAAATCATCCAATCTAAAACGGCGTTCAGAGGTCGAATGAAGACGTTTGAGATCAATAATGTCAAAGTAAATGGTTACAAAAGTGTTGAAACTTTTATCGAAGATTCCAAAAAACTTATAATTGAAAAGGTTCGTGATGAGGGAACTTCATTGAAAATCCAACTTATCCTTAAGGCAAAGTTCGCTAAAGGGATTACGGAAAAAGTCGAATCTGATTTTGAATTCAAAACGAAAAACATCATCATTTACGAAGATTCTAATCTATCAGATTTGTTAAATGAGGCAAAACAAAAACTATTGACTGAGATGGAAAGTTTTAATCACAAAGGCTCCAATTGGAACATGAAAACGATTGAATGTCTTTTTTTACATATCAACCGACTTAAGCCTTTGAAAGGGTCTAGTTACATAGCCCTGCCAGAAAAAATTCGCTTGAAACGTGCTGTTGTAAACATAAAAAACAATGATCAGCGTTGTTTCATGTGGTGTTGTCTAGCAGCACTCCACCCTTCAAACGTACACCCGGAGCGGATCGACAGCTACACTGCTTACGTAGATGGATTTCTCAAGTTATTTGATGGGATAGATTTTCCAGTCAAACTGACTGATGTAAAAAAATTTGAAAAGCGTGCAGGATTATCGATCAATGTACACGGTCTTGAAGAAAATAGTGATGTTTTTCCCTTGTGTGTAACAGATGAAGAAAAGCCCGTGCATGTAGACCTGTTGTTGGTTAAAGATGGAACGAACTCACACTACTGTCTAATCAAAAACCTATCTCGTTTAGTTCGCAGTCAAGCTACAAAACATAAAGGAAAATGCTATATATGCAGACGTTGTCTTCAGCACTTTTATAACGAAGACAATTTGAAGACACATATGGAGGACTGCTCTAGACATGATGCTCTAAAAATAAAGCTCCCTACCGCTGGAAAAAATGACAAAATAAGATTTACAGAACACAATAAATCAATGAAAGTTCCTTATGTCATTTATGCCGATCTGGAGAGCATGCTCCTCCCGATTTCTACTTGTGAACCATCGGGAGTTGATGAAAACGGTGCTAAGAGATCGTACACATACAGCTATCAGAAACACGAAGCTATAAGTTTCTGTTACTATATCTCTGGCAGTGAAAAGCCTCCAACGACATATTTCGGGGAAGATGCTGGACGAAAGTTTGTCGAGGCGTTGAAAAAGGAGGCCGTAGAGATAAAACAAATCTACGAAAAGATCATTCCAATGACACCATTGGAGGAAGAAGAGATACGTAGACATAAAGAAGCGGTAACCTGTCACATCTGTCAGGAACCTCTCAATGAAACCGACAAAGTGAGGGATCACGACCACCTCACCGGTTTGTATCGAGGCCCTGCCCATTCCAAATGTAACTTATTGTTTACTAAACCCAAATTTATTCCTGTTTTCTTGCACAACCTTTCTGGCTACGACATACATCAGTTCATCAAAGAAATAGGACGACAAGGTGAGAAACTCAAAGTGATTCCCCAAAACGATGAGCGATACATATCATTCACCGTTCAAGTTAGGGGAGGGTTGGAACTGAGATTTTTGGACTCTTTCAAGTTTTTAAGTGCAAGTTTAGACCAATTGATTAACAATTTAACTACAGATCAGTTTTAGCATACAAAGAGATTTGTCAAATCATCACAGATAGAGTTGGTAACAAGAAAAGGGGTTTATCCCTATGACTTTATGGATAACATAACAAAATATGATATGACAACTCTGCCGGAACTTCATGATTTCAAAAACAAATTAAATAAGTGTGATGTATCAGAATCAGATTATGAGCATGCTCAAAAGGTTTGGAATGAGTTCAACATCAAAGATATGAGAGAGTACACATTGTTTTACAACAAGATTGACGTCCTCCAGTTGGCAGACGTTATGGACAACTTCAGGCACGTTTGCCTTCAAACATATAGTCTCGACCCAGCGTGGTACTTCACAGCTCCCGGATTAGCCTGGTCGGCGATGCTGAAACTCACTGATGTAGAGCTCCAGTTACTAACCGACCTCGATATGATTCTAATGGTTGAAAAAGGAATTCGTGGAGGTGTTTCGCAGTGTTGCTTGAGACAAGCTCGAGCCAACAACAAGTATATGAGTCAAGGCTTCGATGAGAACAAAGAACCTAGCTACCTGGTGTACTTAGATGCGAATAACCTATATGCTTGGGCTATGTCACAGGCAATGCCATTCGGTGACTTTAGATGGCGAAAAGATACTGAAATAAATGTTTTAGACATCAGTGATGACGCAGCCACCGGCTACATTCTCGAAGTTGACCTCGAGTATCCCGAAGAAATTCATGACCACCATGCAGACTTTCCACTCGCACCTCACCACATGATTCCACCTGGGTCAAAAATATCCAAACTGGTCACCACTTTGTACGACCGATCTAGATACGTTGTACACTACAGAAATTTAAAACAGTATCTCAACCTCGGAATGAAACTAAAAAATATACATCGGGTTCTTGAGTTTTCTCAAAAACCGTGGATGAAACCATACATCGATTTAAACACTAACATGAGGACCAAGGCAAAAAATAAATTCGAAATTGACTTCTACAAGCTTATGAATAACGCGGTATTTGGGAAAACTATGGAAAACCTTCGGAATAGAGTGGACGTTCGTCTGGTAACCGACGAACGACAGGCGGATAAATTCATTGCCAAACCTACATTCAAGAGTAGGAAAATATTTACGGACCATCTTGCAGCTGTGCACATGACCAAAACATCACTTCTTTTCAACAAACCGATTTACGTGGGGGCGGCTATTCTAGATGTGTCGAAAACCCTTATATACCGTTTCCACTATCAAGTGATGAAGAGCAGATATGGTGATCGGGTCATACTCGCCTATACTGATACCGACTCACTGATTTACATCATATATACAGAAGACTGGTACATGGACATGAAAGAAATGATTGACGAGTTCGACACGAGTGCATATCAAAGTGCCAACCCTTTTGGTATGCCACGAGTAAACAAAAAGGTTCTCGGAAAAATGAAAGATGAGCTGGAAGGTCTGATCATGGTTGAATACGTTGGTCTGAAGTCAAAAATGTATGCCACTGACGTAGAGGAAGGTTTGAATTGTATAAAAACATCTAAAAAGGCTAAAGGAATCAAGAAATCAGTGGTGGAAAATGAAATCACAATAGATGACTATCGCAGATGTTTGAAGACTCTCGAAGATGTGTACAGACAAATCAACAGCATCCGAAGCCACCTGCACGATGTTTATAGTATGACACAATTCAAGAAATCACTTTCGCCAAAGGACGACAAACGGTGTGTTCTTCGAGATGGAATAAAGACGCTACCCTGGGGACATAGAAGAATTCCTACTGAATGTACATAAAAAAATGTAAAAAAACTATTCCTGTAAAATATATTTTTTTCGTGTTTTACACTGTTGTTATTTATTGTCCTGGTGTGCACAAGGTTTTTTGTAGCTCTTTCTCATAAAAAGATCCAATTATTTCTTCACCACTTTTATCTTTGATTCTATAGGTTATTGGAAAGGTGTCTTGCACTTTGGATATAGTAAATATCTCTCTAGTCCAATTGCGACTGTATTTATCGGCAAACGTATCTTTTTTTGTCACAATCCTCACTCTGTCTCCTAGTTGAAATTTTATTTTTCTAGGTGTGTGAGGAATATTGGAGAACCTCTCAAGCAATCTAGGTACGTCCGCATTAGTAACCTCTGCAGGTTTCATACGAATCGTACGATGGACACTGTTGTTGTACTGATGTAGCAGGTCTTGAACTATGTCCAACCACCGAAAACAATTTCGGGTCTCAAATATGACTTTCATTTTTTCATTCAACGTACGATTGAACCTCTCAACGATTGCACTCTTTTCCTCATTTTCAGTATGATACATTTTTATGTTGTACGATTGCAAAACTGACTTAAAATCACGGTTAAGAAATTCTTTGCCCTTATCGGTGTGTAACAGTCTGGGAGCGGTGTGACCGTTGACGTCAATTGCTCGCTTCAATATGAGCATAAACGATTCCGCTACTTCTGCACCCCGTTTGGTCATCAACGGCTCTGACCAGGCAAATTTTGAAAAGGTATCAATCACATTCAACATATAATTATAGCCATCATTCTCACTGGCATACTTTCTCATGACAACCAGATCTGCGGCCCACAGATCGTCTATAACTAGGGTAACAATACGTCGTCGAGGAAAGTGCTTGATCACTGGTCTATGTACTTCCTTGGCGGCCATACTGGGCTTAGGAACTTTGACGAAGGCGCCTTTACGCTGACCGCAAATATTGCATGTCGTATTTAAACGCCATTTGTTGTTAACGGTTTTGACATACTCCCCACTGTCTTGAGACGTGGTTTTCCTTTTGCATTTCATACAGTAGATTTCCATTGGCTCTTATATAAGTGGGAAACACTTAAAAATGAGTGAACTGCACAGACACAGAATTCACTTGTCCGACGGTCAGAAGCGTAAGCTACGCATCGCGTTTAAAAAGCGTAGAACTGCTATAATTGGTTTAACTAATGATAGCCTCTCACGTGGAGCGGATCATATACTGCTTAACGAAGCACAACACAAGGCTGTTGAAAAAGCTATCCGGAACAAAACCTGTCTACGTCTGGCTGTGAGCTACTACCAGCTTTTGAAAAACAAAGAGGGTGGTCTTTTGAAAGAGATGTTGGAAATGGTTGAATCAAAGGTGCCATATGGAAAACGTTTCATATCTCCATTGATACGACATCAGGTGGCACCGATTCTCAAGAACCGATTCGTGCCGTGGTTGAAAAACCTGATCGATAACGAGCTAGATTCAATAATTGAAAAAGACCCCAAGGGAGCCGGCCTTAAGCGATGCATCAACAACAAGCTGGACTCTCTTTTAAAAAACCCGTAAGATCGTTTGAACCTATGTCACTGGGAGAAATAGAGCTTTATGCTAACCAATTAGGCATCCGTGGCTTTCGAGGAGTGTTTATGAGACAGATATTACCCGAAGCCCCTATGGAGTTTGAATGTGGAATCTTGAATCTGGGTAATATCGATTCTTCTGGAACCCATTGGACTTGTTATGTTAAAGACAAAAACAAAAAGTTCTATTTCGATTCGTTTGGAAACGCACCCCCACCACTAGAACTAATAGACTATTTAGGTTCAAACGATCTCTTCTATAATGACATTGCTGTTCAAGAGTATAATGATCCACCTATCTGTGGTCATTTGTGTTTGGAGGTTTTACGTCGAAACTCTAGTGATGAGCCTTGGGATGATATCATAAGAGCTATACGGGATGATAAATACGTATGGAGTTGGTGGTGGCAGCGGAAGATTCATGTTCAATAGATTCGGGGACGAGGTGGACTACCAAAGCTCAATTCGTCAACAAATCGAATCACAAACAAAGTCTGAAATTAGAGATCTTGTAAAATCAGGTCTTTCGGAAATGAAGAAAATGATGAGAACACCTAACGACGATTCGAGCTATGTAGCATTAAACAATAGACTTGGTAAAATAGAATCTACGATGAACATCAAGGATAATTTCATTGGTTTTAAAAGCAAACGTTTAGTTAGCGTCTCCAATGCAATTGATAAACATGATGTTGTAAACAAATATCAATTAGATACTGTAAAATCAACGGTGGATAGACTAACAAAAACATTCGATGTTTCGAACCCTGAGGTGGTGAATTTAAACGGACATCGAAGAATAGGAAAAGTCAGCAGATCAAAAGATCTTTATGACGTGATCGTAAGGAAAGAACTAAACGAGTTAAATGAAAAACTGGTTACATTCCAGACAAACCTTAACATGATATTGGGTAATATACACGATGACATTATAAATTTAAAGAGAGCACAAAATGGTAATGATATAATTGACAAAGATGCCGCTAGTGAAAATCCGGGGCAAAGGATGCCAAATGACATTCCATCCAGAGCACCCTATCCGCCTCAGTGATGGTAGCAAGTGCCGACTAGCTCTAGTTAGCTTTATGTCGGAGAACTACATAAACAACGTGTTAGAACTGGGTAACATATATTTTTGGGACAGCGATATTTATCTGATCTCGACGCCATTTACGATCTCAAAGGGATATTGGACTATTGAAAAACTAAATGAAAAAATCAACGAATATATTACTGCATTGAAACTTAACGTACCTACCAACCAATTTTCAATCAAAAGAGAAAACAATCGTATCGCAATAACAAGTCCATTGAAATTTTATCTCGACGAAAAGGCGGCTTCATTCCTCGGATTCTCAAGTCCAGGAGAGAAACCATTAACCGAACAGAAATCGTTTTACGATGCCAATACATTACTGACTGCGCCAAACGCACCCAATTTCAGGGCTGTGGACGCCATAGAGGTACACTGCAACATCGTAGAGCACAGTTACATCAGCCACGATGAGCACAGACACAAACATGTGGAAGCAGAACTGTTGTACACGTTCTTCCTGAATGTAGCACATGGCTACAAGATATATGAAGTGCCAACGGAGAAGTTGTACGTTCCTCTGAGGAATGGTTTACAAACGATCAACCGAATCGACATCACTCTCCGAGATCAAAACAATCGCTTGCTTCAAAACGAAAACGTTGAATGTGTAATAGTTTTAGATTTATATAAGTCCTAAAATGGATATCAATGTGTACTGCATCGAAGAAGGATCCATAAATAATCTATTACCACACCCATTAAGATGCCTTATAGTCGGTTCATCAGGGTGTGGAAAAACAAACCTATTGCTCAATTTTATCTATAACGTAAAGGGTGTAAAGTTCAAAAACCTTTATGTATTTAGCCGATCCATTGATCAGCCAGCATACACACAGCTACGTAAACACTATGAAAAAGTAGAGCACGCACTCGGCACAACTATTGCATACTTTTACTCAAACTGCAGTGACTTGATACCTCTAGACGAATGTAAGTCCAACTCTTTGGTGGTGTTTGACGATTGTCTTTTAGAAGAACAAACAAAAATAAAAGACTATTTCATACGAGGGCGTCATAAACAGGTATCTTGCATTTATTTGAGTCAGAGCTACGGGCGGGTAGACATGCAAGTAATAAGGAATAACGTTAATCTTTTGTGTATATTCACACAAAACAAACACTATACACAAAAGATATACAACGACTTCGTTGGATTTGATATGATATACCAAGAGTTTGTAGGCATGTGTAAAAAGTGTTGGGCGGAACCTCACGGTTTTATGTCAATAGACACTACTAAAAAAACGCATCTAGGTAAATATAGATGTATGTTTAAGGAAACGCTATATCCCTAATAAAAACTTTTTTGCATCAAATACGTGTATTTTGTTACATTAACGATATTTTATACTTAAGAGCGTATTTACACTAAATGATTGTGTTTATGCTAAAAAACGATATTTCAAATTAAAGAGCGTTTCTGCACTAAATAAACGTTCTGTTTTTATCAAAAGCGTTTCTACACTAAATAAACGTTATATTTATGTAAAGAACGTTTCTACAATCAATAAACGTTTCACATGTACATGTTGGAATAACGATGTGAATCTTACGTCGTGTTTATGTGTTACTAAGTGCACAATGGATACAAAAGAAGCTAAGCGACTTGAGACTCTAGAAAAGAATCTCGTCAAAAAATTTCGGACAGCGGAACAGGAGGAAAAGAAAGAACGAGCTAAGAAACTGGAGGAGATTACAAACTCCCATCCCAATACACATGCAATACAAGACATCACAAAACCCCCAACACGAGTAACAAGTAAAACGCGAGATGAACCTCTGACAGTTGAAAAAGCTAGACAGCTGGAGCAACTGCAAACCACTCTACAAAACCAGTTTGGAGAAATACATGTTAGGGAAATGGAGGAACAACGTGTAAGGGAGAAAAAGTACGAGGCTATCACCAAAGCGATTAAAGAGAAAAAAGAAAAGGATGAGGTACTGGAGAAAAAAACAAAAGAAATGCTGAAAAAACAAAAATACAACCAGCTAATGAAACGCAACTTTAGACCATCAGTCTCTAGTACACCGGACCGAGTCGGTTATATTGGTTCCACTCAAGACGATGATGATGAAGATGAAAAAATGGAAGTAGTTGCAGATAAATCAATAAAACAGTTGATGGATACCAAGGTCGTTAATCTTGGAGTGGTCGGGGCTAAATATCTACCACGAGCTAGTGACTCTCAATTCGGTATTTATTTCGATGAGATAGATGAGCAACTAAAAATCGGTTCTGAACCGATTGGGTTTGATTATGATGACATTATTGTAAACAACAAACGATTTAAAGGTACTGAAGGACTTTGGAAACTTTTAACGAAGAAAGGGTTTGTGCAGTCTAATGAA